ACGTCCTGGTTCCCAGGACAGGAATTTAACAGCAATACAGTCAAAATGTATATTTTTATAATTTTATGATGGGAAACTTTTCAACACCTGAAGTATGTGAGAGAAACAGCAGCTCTCCTCCTCCTCCTCCTCTGGTTTGACTTCATTTAGTTGTTTTTAACTAAATCTACATTTTCCCTGAGACGTAAAACTTTCAGTTCACTCAAATGAAAAATACTTTGATTAAAACGCGAGGAGCGTTTTGTAGTTTGAGACATTTTATTCTGAGCAGCTGTTGGCTCAACTCCAGGAGAATTCCTCAGATCATTTTGCTGCAGGTAAGATACTGACTGCTCAGAACTGCCGAAGCTCCTCTTTACTCTGCAGAGCCTTTGATTTCTCCTCCCAGAGCAGGATGCCTTCAGGTCAGTGCAGCAGAGGGAAACACATCAACACGCACCGCAACTGCTTTTATGGTTTAAGCTGCAAAAATTAATTTCTTGTATCTAAAGGTGGAATAAGCTGAAAAACAGAAATGGGCTTTTTCTCTTGTAGCAGTTTTGAGCCACGAGAGGGCGCTGTTCTTCTTAGATGAACTTTATTAAAACTAAATGAACAAGAAGATAAAAACAAAGCACCCTAAACTCGGATTCGACTTTTTTACACTTTTGACAATTTCTTAATTTTTTGTTTCAATTTCAGTAAAAATATTCAAGTACAAATTATTTTTAAATCTTGTTTGATTGCTGGAGATCAACTCTGGACCCCTGACTTGGAGTCTCGTGACCCACAGTGGGGTCCTGGGAACCCCCGCACCAAAATATAAACATTTTGTTTTTTAATTTCTATCTTTTCTGCATTCTTTGGGCTCACTCAGACATAAATCCTTTTGTGTCTCCATCAAGAATTTTAGTTTTGCAGCGACAGCTTAAATGGGGGGTTCCACAGGGGTCCATACTGGGTCCCCTCCTATTCTTTTTATACCTGCTGCCGCTTGGTGCTATTTTCCGGAAACACAACATGCCCTTCCACTTCTACGCCGATGACTGTCAAATTTACTTCCCCCTAAGACACAATGGTACATG